TGCAGGATGAAACTATGGTTCCGAGTGACTGGATTGGGTGGATCGCTTGAACCAAACAGTTACATGAGGTTAATATAGTACGAAGTACAGCATATTGGCTTGATATCAAATCAAAACAATGAGATATGTTGGAGGGTACATGTTCTGCAGTGCAATCTACTCTGGTGGATGGAATGGACAGAAAAAAAGTGATATCAACTCTCAAATCAAATGGTATATGTACAGAGAAGAAGACAAAAAGCGCAAATTGTGACCGCAAAGATATGTATGCGCCCCTCTAACGGAAAAGAAAAAAGAAAAAAAAAAGGGTATCCGTAGAGGAGCAGCCCGAAGATGAAAAATGTGTGGCCAGGAATAGTTGGAGAGACAAGCGACCCGCGCACGCACACATGTAAACCGACAAGTACACCTTCAGCGTTGAACCATTTGCGCAAGAATAATCAAAACTGTCCTGGGAGATCTAGATGGCTGAAAATTGTGGCTGTTTAAGAACTCCAGCCGAGATTGACGACGAGACGGACGGGGCCGGCGGACTGGGCGACAGCCTTGTCCGTCTTGCCCTGGTCGGCAGAGGTGTAGGCGTTGACGGTGGCACCGGCACCCTTGGTGATGGAGGAACACTTCTCACCGGCGTGGTTGCAAATCTGCATACCGGCGATTTCCAAGTTGGCGAGCTGGGCGATGATGCAGGAAACATCCCAGCCGGAGTAGCCGTCGTTCTGGGAGTTGCTCATGTCGAATTCACCCCAGGTGGAGGCATACTCGCCGACGAAGTTGGTAGGCAGACCCTCGCCCTCGGAGGCACCCCATCCACCCTGGGAGTCGTCATCGATGGCGACGAAGATGCTGTGGCCGGGCTCGACGGTGAAGCTGAGAGCAGAGTTGGGGGACCAGAAACCGTTCAGGCCACCGCTGGGACCGTACGAGTTCCACATGACGACGGTCCAGGCCTTGGCGTTGTCGTTCTCGAAGCGGATGACGTGCTTGTACTCGCTGGCGACGTCCTCCTCGACGCGGATTATGTTGCTACCCCAGGGGGAGCCGATGTTGCCGATGTAGTCCCAGTCGAGGCTGCCGACACGCTTGCTGGCGGTGGAGGAACCGAAGCCGGAGCGTGAGTACTCGCCGTTGGAGGGGTAGCTGGCCCAGTTGCTGGAGCCGGACGAGGCAGAGCTGGAGGCAACGGGGGTCGGGCTGACGGTGGAGGCGGCCTCGGAGGTGGCCTCGACGAGGGCCTCGCTGGCGGGGGATGCGATGGAAGCGGGAGTAGTAGTGGCCTCGGCGGAAGACTCGGAGGACTGGGCACCGGACCACTCGTTGATCCAGGAGACGAGCTGGCCGTCGATGGTAGCGAAGACCTCAGAACCAACACCACGCTTCTCAACCTCGGGGGAGGGGGTCACAGCAGGGGCCTCAGCCTCGACGTCGAGGACATCGATGTCGAGCTTGGGGTGAGCGTGACGACGGTCGTGGCCGTGAAGACGAGCGACAGCCGACCCAGCGGTCAGCGCCGTCATCAACAGCATAGAGTTGGAGAAGTGCATATTGTAATGAGTGACTTGAGCGAGAAAAGACGCTCTACAAGATGAAAATTCAAATCAAATGAATGTGTGTGTGAGAGATGGGAAGAAGGAAAGTGGATTGGGGAGGGGGGGAGGCGGTCTTATTGTATAACACACAAACGGCTGTGAACCTTACACCAAAATCAGGGGCTGCTGTATGATGATTGGTGTGTACCTGAGTTTGTGGAGCCAGGGTGGAGATTTACCATCATATGATTGGTTAGCCAGCGGTCCAGACTCTGGCTTTGTGTACTTGGTACTTGGCTGTCTAAGGGGTTACGAGTAGTATACAGTAGGAGTATATTCGACATTGTATATTGATATTCTACACGATGTTGATATGTATATTGACATTGTGTAGATGTAAGTATGTGTAGATTATGTCAAACACGTGTCTATCGGAATGCTGGATGCCAACGTATACTCCGTACGTGCAGTAGAGCCCAATATACACACTTAGCCTGTAGCCAAGTCCAATTTTCCATCGCTTGCCCCCACAGGCCAATCGGGACAATCCGCAGTAAGGATCTCAGTCTTACGAAGCCCAATCTTAAATATGGAGACAGCTCACCACCGACGTGGACATGAACTATACACACGGTTCAATGTCAGTATCATTCACGCCCAAATGATAAATGTATGGAGAAACTAAACGGTAGTAAATTATAACTCAAGTACCATACCATACAGCACTGTCCCTGTCAATCGTATCCACGGATGTGCACAAACAAGGCCTGGCCGCAGATCAACGGCAGAGATTTGCCCCTACTGTCCTGCCCCTAGTATGGCCCCTTCTACAGGTACAACGTAAGGCACCACAATACGTCGTAAGTAACCAAAATAGCGCCCAAGCCCTGCTCCACCGACATGACGAGTCTTCCACCGGTACGCTCTTGCCGGGGGATTTGTCTCCATCCGTCTCCATAGTGGCACATAACCCGGCCCTCCACTTCAATCCAGGCCTTTAAATTCGCCAGCGCTTGACGAGATGTGAGTCGTTTCATGTGCAATGGAGTCTACCGTACCGAGCACCATGATCTGAAAATTTAGGCGCCCAGGTTTGCCCAGGTAATATTTGTTGTGCGGTTCTTGGCAAGAACCGGTGTACACAATACCCTCTAGGTTGGTGGCAACGGGCGTTTCCTGAAACATTAGGGCTTAATCGTGCAGGAACCCGCTCGTCCCTGGCAGATTTGCTGCAGGTACAGTCCTTGGATCCTTTCCAGGGCTAAGATGACTCTAAACCTGCGAGTGCAGAAAACCGCGGTAAATAAACAGAACCAAGGGTTTACACGGGAGACATCCAAGGTTCGGCCAAGATCTTCACTTCTCTTATTGGCGCTGGGAAATTAAATGCAGTTAACCGTTGCAATATCCATGGATGATTTAATGATTCATTTAGATCTTCAAATATATGAAAAAAATTATAATTAGTGTGTTCTATAACTACTCTGTACTATCTGTTCTATATATGAACGTGGCTTGATCATAAATAGAATACGGGTAGTTACTATTTACAGACCAGATCACCTCCTGACCAGGCAACATGAATCTGACACAAGTACGAAATACGCGGTACACCTCCCTATGGAAGGTGTCCCTGGGAAGGTGTCCCTGGAAAGGGTTCTTGTAAAGGGTTCCTGAATATGTGGATCTATTCCTATCATTGACCCAAGTCAACGCCACCCTGGAACGCCTCGCCGCCAGCCTCCGCATCCAACTTCAGACTCTCATCCAACCCACAAACCCGGAACAACATCTGCGGCGTAATTTCCTCACTCAACCCCGGCAACCCATCCTCCCTCAACTTCGCCAGGCCCTCACGCATAGCCACAAGCGCCGGGCCAAGCGTGGCAAACGGAAAGATAATAATCCGGAACCCAATCTCCTTGGCCTCCCTCGCAGAAATCGAAGGCGTGGCCCCATGCTCAACCATATTCAACACCAAAGGCCAAGGCGCCAGATCCCTCACAGCCTGCTTCGCCATCTCCCGCGATGAAATCCCCTCGAGGAATCCCACATCCGCACCCGCATCCCGCGCCGCCCGCAGTCGCGCTACACTCTCTTCATACCCGTACTGCTGCAACGCATCCGTCCGCGCAATGACAACAATATCACTGCCGAGTCGGTGGCGCGCCTGCACTGCTGCCCGGATGCGGGTTATGTATGTTGCCGTGTCGACCAACTGCTTGCCGGATAAGTGGCCGCAGCGCTTGGTCTGCACCTGGTCTTCGATGTGGAAGGCTGCTACGCCGGACCGGGCGTATTGCTCTGTTGTGCGTGCTACCATTATCGGTCCGCCGTACCCGGTGTCCGCGTCGGCGATTAGTGGTGTGCGTGGCGACAGGTTCGCTATCATTTCGGCGTTGGCGCGCATGTCATTTAGTGTGCAGATTGCTAGGTCTGCTTGGCCGTGGACTGAGGCTGCTGTTCCTGCGCCTGTCTGTGGTGCACTTTGTTAGCTTGGCTGGCTTGGCTTCTGTGGGTGGGTGTGGGTGTGAGGTATGGCGCATACCATGTACAGTGCGTCGAAGCCGGCTGCCAGTGCTAGACGTGCTGACATGCCATCGTAGACTCCTGGGGCTACGATGAACCCATTTGGGTCTTGGAGGGTCTTTCGCAGGTTGGTTGCTGCTGATGGGAAAGCCATGGTTTCTTGATATGGATATGTCTGAAACTGTGAGAGCAGATTTCAGGATTCGACGACGGTAAGTCTTATATATCACACGTGTGACAAGCTTTTCCATCATTCCTTCTCCACCTTCGAACCCCTTTCGGCAGTTCTGCTCTCGATGATGCGCACTCTCCACATGGCCGATACCGGTATTGGTAACCCCACCTATAACGTTTGACTCCAGGATACTGCAGTTGAGACTCGGGATTTACTCGGTGAAGTTGAGCCGTATTTCCAGAAGCCGATTGTTCCGCGAGAGGGTGGTATCTGCGAAGGACAGAGAATGCTCCGAGCTCTGAGATGCCGCTTAACCGGTGTCTCACAACTACTAGCAAGTTGACGACTTAGAAACACCTCGGGGGGATCAGCTTCGGCAGCAATTCAGGCGGGGTAGTTTGCCTCGTCTCGAGCTGGGACAATAGCTAGGCATGTAGGATGTTGATAGCTATGTAGCATTTAGCACTGGGCACACATATTAGGATGCCTATTGTAGATCAGATAGCCAATACTAAACAATATATGCATCCATTGCACTCGCGACGAAGTATATGTACTCGGTAGTTACTAGTCAGACATTTATATTGCTACACATGCATGCGCCCTGGACGCCCTGGCCCAGATCGCCTTAGTCAGCATCTCAAAGCGGTCCTCAATCTCAACTCCGAACTCCATTCCTTCAATCCCAAAAATGAGCATGAGCTGCAGCTCACACCTTTATTGATACCTTTGTCCTCTTGATTCTTTTGCCATCCCTTCCAGCCTAAATGGCTCGCCCCTCCGTGGTCCAAGAGTACGCGCCGCCCTCCGCGCCCACCCTCACCATCGACCAAAAGTCCACGGCCGAGCACCAAAACTACCGAGTCGCCCGCCCACAAGGCTACCGCGTATCATGGCACGCCAATCCAGCCGTCGAGGCACACCACTTCGGCCAATCCCACCCGATGAAGCCATGGCGCCTCACCCTCACCAAACAACTAGTCATGGCCTACGGCATGCACCACGCAATGGACTTGTACCTCGCGCGCGCAGCAACCTATGAAGAAATGGCCGACTTCCACGAAGCAGACTACCTCGACTTCCTGCGACAAGTAATGCCAGGCGACATCGACCGGCCCGAACAAAGCGACAACGTAATCCGCTTCAACTTCGGCGACGACTGCCCGATCTTCGACGGCCTATACAACTACTGCTCCCTCTACGCAGGCGGCACAGTCGACGCCGCCCGCAAACTATGCAACAACCAATCCGAAATCGCAATCAACTGGTCCGGCGGCCTTCACCACGCCAAAAAAGCAGAAGCATCGGGCTTCTGCTACGTAAACGACATCGTCCTGGGAATCCTCCAACTCCTCCGCCACCACCCGCGCGTCATGTACATCGACATTGACGTCCACCACGGCGACGGCGTCGAGCAAGCCTTCTGGTCAACCGACCGCGTGCTCACAGTCTCCTTCCACAAATACGACAAAGACAACTTCTTCCCGGGCACTGGCGCCCTAGACGATACAGGGCCCTCCCACCCCCTCAACCCAGGCGCCCACCATTCAATCAACGTCCCCCTCAACGACGGCATTGACGACGACTCCTACATCCAGCTCTACCACGAAGTCATCGGCGCCTGCATCGCTACCTACCGTCCCGGCGCGATCGTCCTCCAATGCGGCGCTGATAGTCTAGGCTGTGACAGACTCGGCTGTTTCAACCTGAACGTGCGCGCGCACGGCGCCTGCGTCGCGTTCACGAAGACGTTCGGGTTACCGCTTCTCGTCGTTGGAGGCGGCGGCTACACACCGCGCAATGTATCGCGAGCGTGGGCACATGAGACATCGATCCTGCTTGAGGCTGACAAGATACTGGACCCGACGATCCCGGATTCGGTTGCGTTCCGGAATCACTTTGGTCCTGATTTCTCGCTTTTCCCGCCCCTGTCGGAACTGAGGAAACTTGAGAATAAGAATCCCCGTCCTTATCTTGCTGGGCTTGTTGAGGCTGTTCATGAGCAGTTGCGGTATATCCAGGGCGCGCCGAGTGTGCAGATGAGTTTTATTCCGCCTGATATTTTGGGTCTCAGGGAGGATACGGAGAAGGAGATTGAAGAGCAGATGTTGCTTGCTGAGGAGGAGAGGGAGGAGTTTGATGGAGGTGGGTCTGTTGCTACTGCTTCGGCTGCGGTTGCTGGCTCTGGCACTGCTTATACTGGTTCTGCCGGGGCTATTCCGCGTCCTAATCGGCGTAGGGAGCTTGAGCGTGGGGCTGGGTATAAGGGGGAGCTGTATTCTTGATTTACTGGCCTCGTCAAATGACGGTTGTGAGCTTTGAAGCATGGCGCATCGAGGGCTGAAAAGGCGTTTGTGTGCGGGCGTTTGGGTTATTTTTGTTTGTGTTTGGCATTTATCTATCTGCCTTTCTTGTGATATCCCTGTACAGTAGTGAGGAATGAATAACATATGAACCTTGAGATTAAGATCTATGACAGAAGACCTTCCACGTATATGGCCATGAAGTCTTCTGTGGAAAGTGACGCTCGTTACGCTAAACTATACTACACCCATTGTTTGTATAATAATTTCATTTCTGACAATAATTCCTGTTTTTCTTTTGGGGTTTAAATTAAACAAATCGGGTATCCAGCAATGGGAGCGGTATGGTGGCCGGAAACGCTGTGTTGAAACATCAGAGGGGCAAGGAGGAAATTAGTCAAGGACAAGCGTATCGCTGGCCGCCTCGAGTTCGGTTTGTGCTGGTAGTCTGCGAAGGTTGAGGTGGCAGAGTGAGAGAAGTTTAGAGTAAGTCGGGGAGTGATTTGATATTGGAAGGACGGGATGGATCCAGTTGGAGGCGGAGGGGGGCCTGGCTTAGTTGGTTTCCTGGGCGTCTACAAATTCATCCACGTCTGACGTTTGTGTGTCTGTCCGTTGGACTGTCGCTTCATTTGCGTCACTTGGGGTGGCGGGAGGGCCTGGGTACGGGTGGTATTAGCTGTCTGTGGTCGCTTGGGGCATGTCGCGATAGTCCGAAGCGCGGGAATGGTGTGGCGGGATTTGGAATTGGGATGACTGTTTCTGACCTTGGACGATGGGTGCGATGGCTAGGATCTGTTTGGTGGCCAGTTTGGGATCGCGCATATCGCTGAGCAGTCAGTAGGGATCGAAGCTTTTCCGCGTGGGACTTACACTTCGGCATTGATGATCCAGTCGAGATCTTCCTCGCCTTCATCAGGACCACCAGGTCCACCCTGGACGGGACGGAATAGTCTGGGACGCCAGTCGATTCCTTCGTCAGCACGCTTGGCAGCTTCATCTCGCTGACGATCTTCGATCTTGGTTTTTTCGTCTGTGGCGGCTTCGTGGTTGCGAGCGACAAGCGCTTGGACTGTGTCGTACCACAGGCGCTGCGATTCCCGCTCGCCTTGCTCCTCGAGTGGACGTGCCAAAGGCTTCGTATGCTTTGCGTGCAGCGCATCGAACAAAAGGTCTTTCTTATGGGTCTGCTTCAGTCAGTGCCAGGACCAAGTATATTCGTTGAGATATATGCATACGCGAGCATCCTTGATATGCATCTCTCCATTCCATAAACCCGACAATTCATAAAGCACCTCACCAGTTTGCTCGTTCTTAATCGTTCCACCAATAGCGTTATATGTGCCGGAGAAATAACCCTTCGTCTTAAACTCGATATCGGCCACGAGGTGGTTTTCGGGACAACGGACATAGCTGTGATCGCCGAGCTCATACTTCATCTTGCCGAAAAGGATGCCGCGCGCATACATATTGGGTTGAGTCAGGATACTAGGAGTGTTAGTTTCAATACTTGAACAGCCGAGATTCAGCTCACTATCTCTCGCCCTTTTCTTTGTTCTCGCCGTGGTTCAACAGCCGCAGAATGGCAATTCCCTCCATCAGACTGGCAGCCGAGTTGCCCAGGAACCTACTCCGGGGCTTCAGGGTTCCATCAATGCGTATATTATGCTCCGGCGCCGCAAAGAAATAGCTCGACTTGGGCGGGTGGTGGGATGTCTGCTCGGAAATGTAGTAACCGCGGGTTCCATCGGGATAATCCCAGTAACAAGTAAAGGTCTCTCCAAGGATCGGGTTCAGTGGTTTCTTCACGCCTCTATAAAGCCATCAGAACATGTCCCCCAGCTAGATCACGGATGACGTACGGTGGTTTAATGTGCCATCCACTCAGGTAAAATTTGACCACGGAAACAAAGCGCTCGACCGGATCATCAATCGTCGACATGGGAAGAAGAGTTTCGGGATGGGCCATGAAGCTGTTCGCGGTCAGATTAGCACGTCGACATAGCTAACGGGGTGTTTTGGTTGTGGACGTACTTGGTGATTCGCTCCAGCATGGATCGGGGCTCCAAGATGAAGGTCGGCAAGACGACGCGACTCAAGTCGGCGCCGGGTCGCAGCTGAGAGATGATGTGCGACAGCACTGAGGCGTTCGAGTCAGTTTTGCGCTGTTGCGGTGGGATTGTACGCACCATTTCCCTGGTCGGGCTCGACCACCTCGTCCTCCCCGCTTGCCGGGGAATCATCCATAGATGATCTACCTAGCTCGGCGTCAGTAGACATTATTTGTGGTTTGATGTTTATGTGTTGAAAGGGAGAACGGCGGGACGAACTTACTGGCGAGGGAAGAACGGCGGAGATGCGGGACCGGCATGTCTGCGTGCGGACGAGTAGATCCCAACTCGGACGTCTGCTTTCAAGAAGTTTTGCATATAAGTTATTGAAGATGTGAAGAAAAGAAAGCAGATTTCTAGACACCTGACTTGTGGCGGGAGGACCGGAAGAGCTACTCGGAGGTAAAATAAATGAAAGAAAAGAAAAAAAGAGACCAGAAGTATTAGCCTCGTGTGACGTCTTTTCTCCCAACCAGTCTATTTTGCTTTGCATCTACTCAACACTAACCTTACTCTCTCTACTCTTTGAGGGGCATTTTCTTGGCTTCGATGCCGTGTCTAACTGCAGGCCAAGTATTCTGCATATGCAAACTCTCCTCCTTCTCTTCCCCACCAAACTCCTCACACCCGTTCGATCAGCGGCACATCTCCCCGGGTGATCTCCCTCACAAATGCCATATCGGGACGATGAAGCATGACGTGGAAGTGTTCAACCGCATGAACCGACTTGAGCGACTTCCAATTTCTAAACCAGACAACCTGAAACTCCCCCCATCAGTCCCCAGTTCCCATCGTATTCGTATTGAAGCTGACATACCTGGTCGGCCGGTACTCGCGAACAAAACGTGCGCTGCACATACCTCTCTATGGCCTTGCGCGCGTGTGGCGTCAAGTCACCGGTCGCAGGGTCATCCTCCAGCTCGAATTTGGTCCATACTACCAGATGGATGATATCCGTGTCGACGCCATAGGGCCAGTCGTTGTAGAGGATTCGAATGTCGTCTGTCAAGTTATCAGTCTTCCTTGCTTTCAACACCAAACCGTTTTCCCCCTTCCATCTCTACAGTATATGCCATACCGTCGTATTCGAAGAGGTCGCCTCGGGGCTTGAGGTCTTCTGTGTTGCCGTCACCCCAGTGTAGTCGTTCTTTGACCACGAATCTCATGACCGAGGAGTATTCGGCTTTGATTTGCGCGGTGTATTCTAGGTACTTGCGGAGGTCGCTCGGGACACGCTGGAACCGATCGATCCGGTTGGTTCCTGGCAGTAGTTAGCCTTGAACAGCAATATGGCCGCGAGCAGGTAGGCTCACTGATTATCTCCTTCACTTCCCCCCAGTTCTGTCGAGTATAGTGGTCATCCGGCATCGAGAGACATTGTATGTTCTTCGGTGGCTGATCGCGCAAAAACTCAGGACATTCTGCCGTCCATCGCGACCGGGGTAGATTCACCAGCCAGAAAGGTAGAGTTTCAGAGGTCAAGTGGTGGTCGTGGAGGAAACGCGCCGGTGCTGTTGTATCGGCGTCTGTTAGTTTTTCGTCGAGCGTGGTGATTGTAGCGGCCGGTGTTGACGGCTCTGTGAAATGTGGCATTGTGACTGGTAGTCCTAGCCCAACCCGGTCAAAAACTGAATATGTTGAACGTTGAGTTTGTTGGAACTCCCCCTTGCGACGTCACCGCCCAACGGAGTATGAGGCGTCCCTGCCGTCGATCGTCCCGGGAATCCACTGATCCACCGTGGCAATTTATTTACAACAATACCTAGTTAATGCTGAAAGCTCGATATCTTTAGGATTCAGAGAGCGAACGGAAGGAGCTATTAGCTAGACTTATATCTAAGTACTCTACAAGATCTGATGATGTACCAGTTGAAGTTCATGGAAACACACACAAAGCATCGATTGAGAAGGAAGCGAGACTTGGAAACTGAAGTGAGAACTAAGGAGGTTGACGAAGAGGAAGGCGGAGATGAGAGAACGCCGCTGTATAAACCCTACTTTGGTCTCTCCTTTTTCGCCTCTTTTCGAGTACCTCGGGTTCACCATATAGCATATAGATCATACGAGGGAGCAGATGTGAAAGGTGTATGAGCCAGCGAACATGCCGCGTGATTTGATACGCAACCCCTTATTCCACTTAAGGATCTGTGGGTTTCAAAGTTGAATACATGCAGCTACTGGGAAGCCCAACTGAGGTTCCATGAATTATTACTGACCAGAAGGTCAGCTCTGTGTCAAAATGAACGAGTTGTGATGTCAAACAGCACCAGTAGATATCAAGGCTATCCCACAATCTCTAGATAGACCATCACAAGACATAGAACCGGAAAAGACATCCACCCCTCAAGTGCCCTATATACCGTGGATAATCGGATCCATTATAGAAATTACTGAAACGCCCGCAGCCTCCAACTCGCCCTTCACAGCACCCCAGCCATCAGGCACAACACACCTAGTAGCCTCCTCAACAACCCAACTCCGAAACCCAGCCTTAACAGCATCGACAGCAGTATACTTAACACAATAGTCCCCAGCAAGACCAACAACAAAAACATCCGTAACACCCTTTTCCCTCAGAGCCGCCGCAACATCCAAGCTAACAGACTGGGCGTTGATACTGAGATCACGATTCCCAAAGGCATCCGCAAAGACAGAGTACATCTCAATCTGTGGGTGCTTACCCTTCTGGACAACCAGATCAGCCTTGGATGTGTCGATTTCTGGGATTATCGTTGCGCCGGGTGTATCCGCCACGCAATGGATTGGCCAGAGCTGTTGGGGTTTGGTTTCTGATTGTTTTCCTGGGGCTGGGTTTTGCATTGTGATGCTTGATATGAAGGGCTTGTTGTTTGGTTCTGCGTGGTTGCTGGCGAAGGAGATGTGGTTCCTTGGGTGGTAATCTTGGGTTAGGACTCGGGTTATGAATCCTGGTTTTGAGAGGAGGGCGTTGATTGTTGATGATATCTCTCTGCCTCCTTGGACGGCCAATGAGCCATTCTGGTTACGTTAGTATGATTAGGCGTTTCTTAGGATGTAGAGTATTGCTATAGGGTAGATCTAGACCTACCGGGGGGCAGAAGTCTTCTTGCATGTCCACCACGACAAGGGCGGGCTTGATAGCTGCAGTTGCAGCCATGTTGAGGGTATTGTAAAGATATCAAGGCCGTCCGAAGTGAAAGAGAACATAAAACAAATAAGGCAGAGAGGAAGAGATAACAGTTCCAAGTGATTGCGTAGACGACATATTTGACGGGCAGAATATTAGATCAGCAACACATCATTCCACTTACAGAAGCGGAACATATGGCGGTGGATAGCTCCTCAGCCGAGCACTAAAACGCGGAAGTTCTGCAAAACCTTCATTCTTTCTTCCTCCTCAGGGCTCCGGCCCCAATACATTTCAATAATAAGGTAAGTCATGTTGCTATCTCACCTCGCCTTAATTACCTGATGAACCCTTTTATTGGAGCTGTCTGAGCTTTTGCTATGCGGATAAACTCATTATACGCTTTTCATCTTTCTGAATCACCTCACTCCCACCACACTTTTGGAATCAATCTATTAAGATCAGTCGCTAACTGCCTCTGATAGTCAACAGGAAATTGTAAACTCAACTTGAAACCTCCCTGAATACCCACCAAGAAAGAAACCCCCCTAGAAACAACTTGAAAGCACCCATATAGTCTATCTCTATTCTACACCCTCTATTATAGTACCTCCAAAAAAGATGGCATATGATCCCCGCCGCCCAAACTCGGGCACTTCAACTCCCCAACCACCACCACCTCCCCCACCACCGCCAGAAACCATCGAAATGGCAACGACAGCCCTAGAAGAAGTCAAGCCAGCCGACGAAGCCGGCACGACAGACTCCTACAAGCTGAAGTTCTGCACAGTCTGCGCATCCAACAACAACCGCTCAATGGAAGCCCACCTCCAACTCTCCGGCGCGCCAACCGCCTTCCCAGTCATCTCCTTCGGCACAGGCTCCCTCGTCCGGCTCCCAGGCCCATCAATCACCCAGCCAAACGTCTACAGCTTCAACACAACCTCCTACAATCAGATGTACGAGGAACTGCACAGCAAGGACGAGCGGCTATATCGCAGCAACGGCATCCTGAACATGCTCGACCGCAACCGCAACCTGAAATGGGGTCCTGAGCGCTTCCAGGACTGGGTTCCTGGCATGCCGCGTGTCGACCATCTCTCCAAAGGCGACAAAGGCGCCATTGGGACGGAGGGCGGCGTTGTCGATGTGATTATTACGTGCGAGGAACGGTGCTGGGATGCTGTTGTTGATGATTTGATGAATAAGGGCTCCGCGCTTAATCATCCCGTGCATGTTTTCAATGTCGATATCAAGGATAACCATGAGGAGGCTTTGACGGGTGGAAAGGCGATTCTGGATCTGGCGAATCGCTTGAATGAGGCTGCTGTTGCTGAGCATCGGGTTCATGGATCTAGTGGCTGGGAGAATGGGACTGGCCCTGCGCGTCAAAGCTTTGATGAGAAGGTTCCGGAGATTCTGGCTGAGTGGCAGGAGAAGTATCCTCATCTGCCGGCTTTGTGGACTTTGGCTTGGCTTTAGTTTCTTCTGGCTTGTTTGCGGGATCGGAATCGGGGCGTTGGTTTTTACTTTGATCTTACACAGCGTCTACTTGATTACTGCTATGTCTGCCTTCTAGAGGGACTCTAAGGGCCATCATTTGCGAGCTTGTCAATTTCGAAGAGAATAATTCAATATTTATCATTCAAGAGTTTCGCATCAAACTGAGGGGGTATCAAGAAATAAAAAATAATAATAAAACCCAGAGACCACTCAAAAATAGATCTGCTCATCTTTGATATGCTCTTCCCCTTTGACATTCTCATTTTTGACGTCCTGCTCACCAGGAGCTTCATGCTTAACGCCCTCTTCATCCCTCGAAAGCAGAAGCTCCCTCCTCTCCCGATACCAAGTATCAAGACAAGCCCTCCTCTGCTCTTGCGTCATACTTTCAACAACAAGCGCAAACTCCGTAGCATCAGCATATCCAAAGTGCCTCGCCATGCTGCAAAACTGGCGCCGCCTCACATCCTCAGGGGGATGATACTTGAACCGCGCAGGTTCCTTGGCTTTATCAGAAACAGGTTGGGAGGACATGAACACTTGCCGATCACCGGTAGTAT